GGTGGGGCCTGAGCCTGCGAGAGGATGAGCTCAGCGGCTGCCCCGACATTGCCTTGAGGTGGGAGCCTGGGGAGGACGGAGGTGGCAGGTGGCAGCCCCCCCCAGGAGCCGACTGTCCCCCTAAGTCAGGGAGATTCTTGGTCTGGGCGTGGAGAGCCCACGTCATCCCTCCTGGAGGGTCTCAGTGACACTTTGACATGATTTCGACTCACTGCTTGAAAAACAACTCTGAACTCTTGTCCAGTGTTTACTTTAAAAATATTATCTCACCACAGAGAGCTCAGCTGAGTGTGTTTCAGCACTGTCAGTTCCTGAGAGAGGCTTCAGGATCTTTAGCAGCTTGGTGGCTACAGCTGAGAGCCCCTGCCCACCGTCCCCACACCGTCCTCGCACTGGCCCTGCATGGCCCACGTCCTGGTGTGGGTGGGTGATGGTCGGGGAGGCCGATGGCATGGGATGCTGCTGCCCTTCCTGCTGCCTGCCTCGGGTCCTGTGTTTGGGATCTCCAGGTCCTAAGTCCAGAGATGCTTGGTGTCGCTGGAGACCACCCTCATCTACCCAGAGTTCCCGTTAAATGAACCTCAGTGCTAGGAACACTGGGAAGTTTAAAGACAGTGGGTCTCATTGTGAGCCCTACTGACCCCAGGTCCTCGGCCGTTCTTGGATTACTGAGCAGCCCTGTAATCAGCTGCCTGTCCCCTCTGCCTGTGCCCTCTGCCCGTGCCCCCTCAGCTCGTGCCCTCTGCCCGTGCCCTCTGCCTGTGCTCCCTCTGCCCATCCCCTCTGTCCGTGCTCCCTCTGCCCGTGCCTCCTCAGCTCGTGCCCTCTGCCCGTCCCCTCTGCCCATGCTCCCTCTGCCCATCCCCTCTGTCCGTGCTCCCTCTGCCCATGCCCTCTGCCCGTGCCTCCTCAGCTTGTGCCCTCTGCCTGTGCCCCCTCAACTCATGCCCTCTGCCCATCCCCTCTGTCTATCCCTCTGCCAGTCCCCTTTGCCCGTGCCAGTTCAGCTTGGACCACGCTGCTCGCTGCCTGGGTGACTGGGCCCTGCTTGGTTCTCCACCCTTCCCTGTCTCTCCGCTGCCCTACGTTCCCTGCTCCAGCCACGCTGGTTCTCTTACCTTCCTGGAGCACGTGGCCTCTCCTGGCCCAGGCCGGTGCTGCTCCCCACTCTGGAATGTTCTCTGGAGTTCTTACCCTGGGTGGCTCCTTCCCCCTTCCCTGCTTGGGGTCACCTGTTCTCATCTGAGATCAGCTGTACCCCTGCCTGTCTCCCCGTTCGCTTGCAGGCCACTGTCCCTGGCACTTGGGAGTCAGGAGGAGCAGGGCCGAGGTCTCGCGCTCCAGGAGCTACGGGGTGGCTGCTGTGCAGGGACTCAGGTACTCAGGTGCTCCTCTGGTGCCTCAACGGCTTTCACTCCTTTCGTGCTCCTTTACCTGGGGCTCTGTACTGGCGCTGCCAGGAGGCCTGGCTGGCCTGGGCTGGGAGCCCATGTTGAACAGCATCTATGTGGGATCGAGGCTGATTCCCGCAGCCCCGGTTCACGCTGGATGGCATCTGAGGGTGTCGCCCTGGCTTGAGCCCAGCCCGGGTGCAGGAGTCAGGGACACCGTGCAGTGGGACAGTTCCCGTTCGCCAACTGGGCCTGCGCGGCCTCTGCTTCCCAGCCACCAGGGGCCACAAGCAAATCTCTGCCCCTTGCCCAGGCCCCAAGGCAGAACATTTAAAAAAATCCTCCCTTCACAAGGACAGACACAGGGAAGGATTCAGCCCCTTAGGTTAGATCTGACCAGGAAATCTGTGGCTGGTCTAAGGTCAGCACGAGCGGGGAGCTGTGTCTGGGGCCTCCCGTCCGTGTGGGAGAAGCACGTGGCGCTGGGAAATGCGTGGTGCAGGCGCCAGTGCTCCAGAGCTGCCTCGGCTGCCGTCCTCCCACATCTTGGGTTTCCTCTGCAGATTCCCATTTAAATCGTCAGTCCCATGGAGTCCGTGACCATCTCTAGCCATGGTGTGAGCAGCGTGTGGCTTCGGATCTCAGAGACTGGACCACTGCTGCCTTGGCTCACAGGACCCCTCTGTGCCGCCCTTCTCCTCCCCATGGCTTCCTGACTGGACTGCTGCTGGCCAGGGCTGCACTGCTGTGTTCAATGGCATTGGCCTGTGACCCTAAGCACGGGCTTAGATGCTGAACTTTAGACCCAGTGCCAGGCACTTGGGTGTCCCATAAGGATTTGTAGATAAAGTCATAAAATACCCGGAGGTTGGATTCTCTTAGCTTTCTAACTGTGGCCTCTAGACAGCCCCTGCCATGAGACTCCATCCATTAGTCTTGAGGTCACATGTTTCCATTTCGTTCCTCATATACAGGTGGAATGTAATAGTGGCTGACTGATGGATGTTCTGAAAAAATGCACGTCTGAGCATATGTTCCTAGCAGCATCCCTGTACTTCCGAACCACCTCTGAGCATCGATGCTTCTTACTCATCTCTGTCCTGAATTCCAAAAATTAGAGCTGTTTTCTATCCTTAGCTACAGCCAAGAGCCCAGCCACACTGCCCTGCCCGTGACAGTGTGTGTTTGTGAGGACAGGGTGACCAGCCCTGCTCTGATATTTCATGGAAATCTTATGTTTCAGGGAATGGGAAAGGCTGCCTGTGGAGGGAACTGTGCACACCAGGAGCATCCGGCAGCCACCGGCTTCTTGGCTGTGCTCCAGGCTTCCTGGCCCGGTAGGCAGGGCTGGCTGCCCTTGTAGGAGCTGGAAAGTCAATTTTGGAACATTTCAGAATAAAGCTCGCAGACGTTCTGAGGCAGCGATGCCCAGGGTGGCATGACCGTAGCCGGCCCTGGGCCTCGGAGACTCCGGCATAGCGTGGGGTCCCTCCTAGGTCCCGGCCCCTCATGGGAGGTATTCAGGTTTCCACCCTTCCACAGGGGAGGATGTGCTGGGGGTGGGGAGACTCTTGCAGCCTCACTTTGGTTCAACTTCAGGATCGGAAGAGATTATTTGTGAAGCTGCTGAGCTTCCAAGCAGGAGTGCGAGTTTTCCCGTTTATGATCCTGTGTAGAGCTTTCTTCTGTCACACGGGGAGGCTTTGAACAGGGAGTTTGACAAGCCACCAAGCCTTTCACATACTGTACTTGGTCAACCTGAGGACAACTCGGAGACGCCGTTACACAGAGAAGGAGTCTGTGGTTCAGAGAAGACCAGTGACTTATGAAGGGTCAGCTAGGAAGCTGAGAGCCCATGCTTGGGAGGGAGGGAGGCAGAGAGGTATAGAGGGGCTGGCGGGTGCCACTGCCTGGGCAGCCAGGTGGGAAGTCCCACTCCATCGCCACAGGAGTGTGCTTTGCAGGCAAGCTCAGGCCACTCCAGGTGCCTGGCCACCCTGTCTCCTCCGTGCGGAGCGTGGGCCTGTCCACGGGTCCTTGCTGTGGCCTCGCTGACAGTGGAGAACATGGCGCGTTCCCACACCTGAATGCGCTGGTCTGGGCGACTGCACTTTAACTGCCCTGAGAATGCTGGCGTCCGGGGCATGCTGTGACTTAACACTCTGTGCAGAGGCAAGGACTGGCATCGTGTGCACGGGGGCGAGGCAGGCCGGCTGCTGACGCTGGAGTCCCTTACCTCTGCATCTTTCTTGGTGTGAGTGGCTGGCCAGTGGGAGAGCATGGCTGGCAGTGAGGCGTGAGGGGCCCCAGGGAAGGTTCCAAACGCTCTGCAGGTGGCTGGGGCAGGTACCACCTGTGTGCGAGGATATCGGTATTGCTGGGGTCCCGGGTCCATGATGAGCAGAGTGTGTGACTGTTGGCGCTTAGGTCCCAAGGCCCCGCAGCCCCACAGGCATCTGGCCCTGCTGCTCTCGTGTCCGTGCCCCTGCCTCCGGACGCGGCCTTGGCTTTCTCCTTCTGTTTTTTGTAACCTTTGGGGTCACAAGATCACAAGGGGTGTGTTCCACGTGGTTAAGGGACGTCTGTGGCAGGGAAGGAAATTTGGCTACAAGAAGGGGAAGGAATTCCAGTACTCTGGGCAGGAGGTCAGAGCAGGTGCAGTGCACAGACCCCAGGCTCACTGCGGAGTTGCCCAGGGGGGAGGTGTGAGGCTCACAGAGCATGAAAGGGCTGTGGCCCAGAACACTGTGGTGGCCGGGACTCTACGGGGAGGAGTGCAGAGCCCCTTGGAGCTCCACATGTCCCACACAGAGCCATTTTCTCACGCCGGGCCGGGCCGACCCTCAACAGTGCAGAGGGAGCGGTAGAGTGTGCTCGGCTCTTTGGACCATGGTGAGGGCCCAACAGCCTCTGCTCAGCGCAGAGTCCTCTAAACACAGGAAGGAGCAGTGGCTCTCCCTTGTCCCAGAGACAGGTGTGCCAAGTGGTCTCCTTCCAGATGTGGGCAAACATTGACCTTTTTATTTTTTTAAAGCTTTTTACCCTGCTGGGGCTGTGGAGAGAACCTGGCGTTTGAGACCAGAGCTTGTTTGATGTCAGCTCTTCCAGACCTGAGGACGAACTTGGGCCTGTGCTCCCCCTGGGCGCTGCAGAGGCTCCTGCTAGTGGACACACACCCACCAGCCTTCTGCGAGCAGCAGGCAGGGCCGTCCCGGGAGGTTCAGATGCGGGGGCGCTAGGTGCGCTGCGATCTGCTTGCTTCACTGAGTTAGCAGGGCGGGCTCAGCTCTGAGGGGCCGGCCTTCAGTGCAGAGCAAGGAGGATTGCCAGGACACGGCCTGCCTGCCACATTCATCCATGTGACACGGATGGAAGGACACCTCGGCCGCTTCTGGGGGTGGTGGGATCGTTCCTGTTCCTCGTCAGTTATTTCTTGGGCAGCAGTCGGAGGCTCCAGCGCTCTTGGTGACTGCATCACAAGTCAGGAGGGATCTGCCCAGCCCTGCGCGGAGCACCTTTCCCGGGTGTGTCTCAGCAGAACACTCTGCTGTCCTGAGTGTGAGCTTATTTGAGCCTTGGCCATCTGAGGACCCGTCTTCTCTTTTTCAGAGGATTACCCCAATGGCACCTGGCTGGGCGACGAGAACAACCCCGAGATGCGGGTGCGCTGCGCCATCATCCCCTCCGACATGCTGCACATCAGCACCAACTGCCGCACAGCCGAGAAGATGGCGCTCACACTGCTGGACTACCTCTTTCACCGCGAGGTGCAGGCCGTGTCCAACCTCTCCGGGCAGGGCAAGCACGGGAAGAAGCAGCTGGACCCGCTCACCATCTATGGCATCCGGTGTAAGTCGGACCCCGCCTTGGGGGACTGGGGTGTGCAGGGAGCTGAGTCAGGACCCACATGTCATTGCTGAGGACGCTGGCATCAGGAGTTCCGGCCCAGGGCTGCATTTCTCCAAGCAGTTTGAAATCCCAGCCCGAGGATCAGTGCTCGAGGGGATGGACGCCTGGTTGACCCTGATGTGCTCACTGCGCCCGGCAGGCCTATACCAAAATAGCTCATATACCCCATAATATAGATACCTACTGTGTACCCTTAAAAGGTAAAAAACTCCTCGCCTCCTGTCTGTAGGCCACTCTTGAGGAAGGGAGAGGAGGAGGAGAGCCGGGGCCTTCCCTGCCATCCTGGTCGTGCTGACCCAGGCCCTCCTGAACCTCTCCGCAGCGGGTGGAGTGCCGCCTGCCTCGAGGGCTGGGTCTCAGCAGCCGTGCCGGGGCCTCTGTGCTGACCTGGCTGTGAGGGAGCCAGGAGAGCTCCAAAGCCTGATTTTCGTGCCCAGCCCAGCCTGTGATGTTTCCCTCCCTTCTGAAGAGCGAGGCTTGCTCCAGGTGGCGATGGCGGTGCTGCTCGTCAGTGATGTTTGATGGGCGCTCAGGTCCTCCTTGCCAGCATACATGGTCCATTTGCTCCACCGAGCCCGTCTGCTTCAGAAGCTGTCCTGCTGGCTTCTGACAAAGATGTAAAGTGAAGCAGCAGCAAACACAAGAGACACGAGGCCCCTTGCGGGAAGGTGTGGGAGGGTGCAGCAGCCTCCGGCAATCTGGGCTCTGGAGAGTTGCCACAGGGGAGCGTGAAATGTAAATCTGATCTCGCAACAAGGCAAGCGAGGCAGAGCACTCGATGTCCAGGATCTCACCGTGCAGAGGGTGTCCGGGGTCTCACCGTGCAGGAGGTGTCCGGGGTCTCACCGTGCAGGGGGTGTCTGGGGTCTCACTGTGCAGGGGCCACTGTTCAACAGGAAAGAGCCTTGCTTCTCTGGGAAGCGTGGTGTGGCCCGTGAGCCTCTGTCAGGAGCAGTGAGGAGGGGAAGGGCTCGGCTGTTCAGTAGCTGCTGTGAAAATGGGGTCTAAGTAAGACTGAGGGGGTCGTGCTGACTGCAGGTTTTCCTGGAAGCTGCTGAGAGGTGGAGCCAGGTCCCACCCACACGCGTGTGCTCAGGTCATGGCATCTTCCCATGCGCCACGTCTTGGCCCAGGCGTGTGCCCCAGCTGTCAGACACTGGCGGACGCCCGTCCTGGACCCTGAGGGTCGTCTAAGATAACTGCCTGGGAGACCACACGTGGGGCCTCCTCACAGCTTCTCAGCAGTGGAGTAAAGCAGGTCACACGGATCAGAGGGTCATGGGATGGGGTCACTCGCAGCCGCCTTCTGAAGGGCCATGTGGCAGATGTTTCAGGCTTTGCAGGTCCTAGGGTCTCTCTTCAACTGCTCAGCTCTGAAAGCAGCCACAAACGAGGTGTCAGTGCATGGCCATGGCTGTGCTCCAGCAGGACACTGCCTTCAGAGGCAGGCAACAGGCCCACCGCCCTCTCCACCCTCTGCTTTAGGGCATGGCGTGGCCAAGAGCACACATCTGCGCCCCTGACCACGTGATGTGCTTCCAGCTTGAAAGCCGGGGGTTGCTTTGTGCTGGTGCTTGGTGCGTGGATCACAGTGTAGAGTGTGCTGAGATGTATAGATGAGTGAGAAATGGCCCTGACAGCAGAGTGTACAGTCAGGTAGATAGAAGTGTCTGTAACCTGAGAGGTGGCATTGTGGGGTGTCGCTGCAGTGTCAGTCTGGGCTGAGAGTTGGAGGCACAGCCTGGACAGAGGAGCGGGTACTCTTTGGAGAGGATGGTGGCATGTGGGATGAGCGTGCTGTGCTGTGTGGGGCAGTGGCTTTCAGGGCTGGGCCCTCTTCCCAGGTGAGGAGTCCCTGCTCCTCCAGGAAGATGACAGGGGCCTCAGATGTGAGGCTGGAGGCCGGCTGCTCTGCCTTGGAGACGGTGCCTTGGAATGTCAGGCTAAGGATTCTGGGCTTTCAGGGCATTGGCTGCGATTGGTGTTTTTTTAGTCGGGCATAGGGAATGTTCCAGCGAGGTGACAGGGACGTGGCAGGGCAGTACTCAGAGCAGAGCCCATGGCGGTGGGGTGACTGTGTCTGTACTCAGGAAGTCCGTGTGGGGCGGTGGAAGGCCCTGTGTGGGGCAGAATGGGGCAGGCCCCAGCTCCTGTGTGTGATGGCTGTGAGCTGACCTTCCCTGCCGAGCTTCTCCTTGCTTGGGAAGTGCTGCCAACCTCGATGGGGGTTCGGAAGCCAGAGAGGGGAGTGGGAACCTGGCATGGGCCACCACCCTCTCCCCTGGGCCCGCTGGCTTCGGGGCTGTCCCCCAGACAGCTGAGGTCACTGGCTGTGTTCACCAGGCTGCTGTGGCTTGGGGCCCACGCCCTGCCTCCCCAGGCTCTGAGCTGGGCTCTGGAGCACGGTCCCCTGGCAGGGGCGTCCGCTAGCACTGTCATTCTGCTGGAAGTCCCTCCGGGGCGTGGCTCCTGGGCTTGCTTCCAGCGCCTGGCCCCTTGGAGATGCTCGGTGAATTCTGATCTCTCGAGCAGAGCTCTGGGAGGGTCATGGTGGGGCTGAGCTTCGGGTGACTTTGCGTGAGGAAGGCTGGCCTGTCCTCAGGGCCATGTGGAGGGGCCTGGAGCAACTGCTGAGTAGGGACCGGGCTGTGCTGTGGAACAGGAGTGCCCGGGGTGTGGGGATTCTGGAGACGTGGGCAAGGCTTGGCTTCACAGGAACTCGAGAGTTCAGTCATTGCTGTGGGTTGTGGGAGATGGCCCATTCTGTATAGTGGGCGCCACCTCCCGTCATACACTTCTGAATTCCACAGACAGTTGTGTTTACGTGAAGCCCACGTGGTGGGCTTGTGTGTGTTTTTGGCGGGAGGCTGTGCGGGCTGTGAGGGTTCCTGCCAGTGCCCGTGGGTGGGGTGGTGGCGAGCTCTGCGGACGGTGCTGTAGCAGCCAGAGCTCTGTCATGTCACAGGTGCGGCTTCCTTTTCTTTCTTCAGGCCGAGAAACCTGTGCATTTTCTTAAAGGGGAATTCCCGATTATGTGTATATTTGCCATATTTGTTAAATAGTTCACAAAGCATGAATAAGTGTCTCAGAATGTTGAGACGCCGCATTCATGCTCAGGGCGTCGTGGGGAGAGGTGCGCCATGCCCTCACTAGGCATCCATGCAGCTGCGTTGTGGGCAGGCAGGTAAGCCACTGTGCAGAGAGCAGGTCGCGGGGCCACAGAGGAGGAGATGGACGTGGCTCGTCGCAGCCCGTCTCAGCTCCGTTGTGTCTCTGAGCTCGCAGCATTCACCCAGCGTCCTGGACTGCAACCCCAGGTGTGTGGTGTCCCCAGCGGGATTGGTGGCGCCCGGACGTGCTGCCTGCTTAGCAGGAGCTGTGTTGTTGAGCGACTGTGGAGTCTGTGCTGTCCAGAGGCGTGGGCGGCGTTCGTGTGAAGGTGGCCGCTGTGCCCTTGCCAGGCGGCATTTGTGTGGAGGTGGCCGCTGTGTCCTTGCCAGGCAGAGAGCTGGGCACGCAGGTCCGGGCCTCTGTCTGTTACAGATATTCACAGTGGGTGGAGATTCCGAGTCTTCACTGTTGCACTGGGCCTTCAGAGGGCCCAGCGAGTGGCCTTGTGGTTAGACAGTGTGGACACAGGAGCCAGCGAGCCATCCTGCTGGAGCCACATGGGCGAAGCCCCGGGAAGGGGGGCGGGCAGGGCAGAAAGGAGCCTGGAGTCTGTGGGCCACACACTGCTGTCTGCCCACCTTCCCCCCAGGGTGGTGGCTTCTGTGAGCACCTGGCCTTCTTAGCATTCACCTGCCACCTTGGCAGCTCATGAGCAAGGCAGGGTCTTTTTTTTTTTTTTGAGATGGAGTCTCACTCTGTCACCCAGGCTGATTTGCGGTGACTTGATCTTGGCTCACTGAAACCTCCGCCTCCCGGGTTCAAGAGATTCTCCTGCGTCAGCCTCCCAAGTAGCTGGGATTACAGGCACCTGTCCCCATGCCTGGCTAATTTTTATATTTTTAGTAGAGACGGGGTTTCACCATGTTGTCCAGGCTGGTCTGGAACTCCCCACCTCAGCCTCCCAAAGTGTTGGAATTACAGGCGTGAGCCACCATGCCTGGCCTCAAGGCAGTGTCTTGTGGGACAGGAGCAGGGGCTGACAGGGTGGAGTCAGCGTCTATAATTGTGGCCTGTGTGACCATAGGCCCTTGCTGTGCCTCCCGGTGCCCCAGCTCCTCTGGCGTCCAAATGGAGAGGAACCTTGCTGTGTGGGCTGAGAGAGCACGACCCTCCCTCACACCAGCTCTTGAGGGCAGCTGGCAACACCTGCTGGGCTTCCTTCCTCTGGAGTGAAATCCGGAGGGAGATTGGAACAGGAGCCTTTCCTTCTCCCTCCACCTCTGGCCAGGCGTACCTGTGTTGCTCGTGCTTAGATGGAATTGTTGAAATGTTAAAAGCATTGCTTTACCTTTTCTCTCTGTGGCCCAGTTTCATTCTTATTGCTGATTGTTGCTCAAAAAACCAAAACAAATCAAATAAGTGCATGGACCAAACCTCCCAGGCCCCAGCTTGAACAGTGGCAGGAGCAGAATTGGCTGCATCGCCCCACCTCACTCTCTGCGTCGCTTCAGAGCCCACAGTGACACCTGTAGCCTCAGCAGTCAGGCCTGCGGCTGTCCTCACTCAACCCCGGCAGCTCACGAGGGAGAAGATTTTGATTTAAATTTCTCCTTATTTGTCAGCAGAAAGATTTTCTTTCTTTTTCTGGAGAAAAAAGTCTACATTTTGAAACACACAGTAGGTAATGTCTCTACCACCTTTTTGAAATGAGGTTATTGAAAGAGGGAGGTTATTGCTTTTTGGGGTGTTGGCTTTCTTAGGGTTCCCACGGTTTGGTGGACCCCCCAAATTTGGGCAGCTAACCAAATTTGTGTTTTACGCAAAAGTAG